ACTGTACTTAAGTACAGTAACGAAGTACTTGTACTTCGTTACTTCCCACCACTGCATTTTACCAAATGGAAATGAAATAGTGATCTTATTTTAGTAGTGTAGATGAAATTTGAACATGTATTTAGTCATTTTGGCCTCACAGCTAGTCTTCAGTACAGTCCTCCAGGATGACATTTATAGAATTAGAAATCTGACCCTTTTAGGGAATATAATATCTAACATTTTTATGTTTTCATATCCTGACAAATTCCTAGCAATGTATCAGACTTCTGTCTCTATTTTCTCTTTCGTCTGTCCTTTGGTTTTCTGGTTGTGGCCTGGTTAATGCCTTTGTGCAGATAAGAGATGCTAGAGCTGTAATTGGCTGAGTATGATAACATGAACAGGAAGATTGCCCTGCCCTATAAATTTCCCAAGAGAACTGTTTGTTATTGTTGCAACTTTGCCAGACCCCAGACCTCTGAGCAAATCTCTACAATCTTGGTGTAACGAAATAAAACACGCAAACATCTCTTTTTGTGAAACCACTGAATCTGACCGATCCCCATTATTCTTCCACAATTTGCCCCCACAGTAGATTGATTGCACTTTCAGAAGTTTAATCGACTTCATTTGCACATGTTTTGTTTTGTATTTCAGGCATTGTGGCAGTTCTGTTTTGTGGCCTGAGCCAGGCAAAGTACACAAATCTCAATTTGTCGCACGAGGGAAGCACAAGAACCAAACAGGTATATTTATTTTCAATGATTTCAACCAGTCTTACTTCCACTTTCGAGGAACATTTTTCAGTTTTATTCATTCATATGTTTTTTTTTTTATTTTTTATTATTATTATCATCTCTGCACGTAGAACCAGATATTAATTTCTATTAGTGTTCTGGTCATCCTGTAGATGTCTGTGGGGCAGACATCCCTCCACCTTATCTGCTTATAAAGCCTAGCACAGATGGGGGGCCAGCACTTCTGATATACTGAGCTGACAAGCTTCACAGTGGAGCAAATAAATCAAAAGTGTACACATAAACTCATCTGTGCATTTATTATGCATTATCGGTGCCACAGTGCAGCTGTTTATCACGGAAAAGCTTTCTAAAAGGTAACACAGTTGAACACCTCGCCTACAAAGTAGATCTGAACAGAGCAGTGTGTTTACTTGGCAGCATGCCTGTATCCATTATTTCATGTTTTATACATGCAGCTCCAGCTGAAATAAAAAAGGTACAAAGAGAGCATTTGAATAGTGAGTTGAACATATATTCTTTCACTGATGCATCTCTGGTTAATTCAAGCTCAAAGCTTTCTATAGAAGCTTTAAACCAAAAAAGCTTTATGTAATATAAAACATATTTTCTAAGTAATTAATAAAAGCTAAATGTCTACTTTATTGTTCATCAGTAACATTAATTAATGGCATTATGAAGAATTGAATTGATAAATGTATTTGTTTTCAATAGAGGTAAATGAGATCTGTTGGATTTTTTTATCTGGAAGTATCAAAAAAGCTTAACCAACATTCTGGGGTGTTTTTAATGGCCAATAGTCGGTCGTTTTGCTTTTCACTTATTTCGACAACCCACATATTTGCAATAAAACTCCTTTGAGTGTAAACCGAAAAAAGAATTGACTAAAACAACTCAGCCGATGAACGCAAAAAACATCATGCCCTCGGGCCGCAGATTTCTGCAGCTGCTTCCTCAAAAGGAATAACGTCAAAACTGAATTTGTCATGTTTGTACAAATCTCAGCTTATTTAGTGAGGAGTCCTTCACTGTCAGACTCTCATTGCATCTATATCGCATGCAGACAGACTTCCATAAATACTGATCTGTGGAAGGGGATGAATTGAGGCTTCATCTCAAACACCACTGACACCAAGCTGTTTTCTTGGACTGAAATCCTTTGTTGACTTATTATTTGATCTTAATGAACACTGAAACAAAGGGAGTTCAGAGGAACTATTTTCAGATGGATTTATAAAGCGCTCGGTGTGATGCAAAGATTTTAGCTGACATAGATAAACGTACAGTAGCTGGCAAAGAGCTGTTATGAATGTCGCTTTGTGCGACACAGACATTAATAAACGCAGGCAGGCAATCTTAAAACATTAAGTAGACAAAAGGATAATAATAATATCAAAAGTCTACAGCTCCATCTGAGCTTTACAATCATTGATGTGATGTCACATTAGTTTTATGACTTTAATAATGCATTCGAAGCATTTTTCCATCATAGAAGAATATGATAACATGGCTTCAGGCTACATCTGGGTGCACATGTTTGAATTTATTGTAGACTTTCTCTAATCTACACAGTGTCAGAGTCATGCAGGCTCAATAGGTATACCCATGTGAAAGAAACATTAATGTATGAAAATTTCTAATGTAATAAAAATTACATTATTTCTACTAATAGAAATAAGAGCTTGAAAACATCCGACTGTGTGTCATTAATCTATATAATGTGTTTCTCTTAGTGAAACAAGTTATTGAAATGAATTTACCTCTTAATAATATTCTAAGTTATGGAATATTACAATGTATTTAGATTCCATGCATGTAATTTAACCCTGTATAAGTAAGAGAGAATTTAAAACACTATAAAGCTTATGTACTCAAATTGTATTTATTTAAACAACGCACTCTCCAGATGTATAAATCCACTCCTATAAACATAATTTAAATGAATGCCATTAATGTCCTTTAGGAGTAGATGTAAAGTTCTGACCCAGGCTGTACCGTAACTCCACCAGCAAACGGCTTCACACATTCCCTCTCTCTCTCTCTCTCTCTCTCTCTTTCTCTCTCCACATACGTGCTCATCTTTCTGACCCTCTCTCTCAAGATTCTTTTAATCCTTTTTTTATAATTTGCAGCTCTTTGAAGTCCTCAACTTCCTCGGGGAGATTTTCATCTTCGGCTACATGGGATATATATGGTTTACATTTCGTCACCATGCCTTCCGAGCTCTCTTCATCTCTGGAGCATTTGTATCCTTTTCCTCCAATGCAACAGAGTCTTTCCACCCCCTGCTGTGCAGCCTCTGGATTTCAGTCAGAACTCACTCCGTTTGATTTCTCTCAGTCTGCTGTACTTTGAGACCGATCCCTTTTTGTGCAGTTACTGGAACATCTTTCTTGTTTTCAATTTGGCATCCCGATCATCCCAACAGCCCTTCAAAAGAAAAAAAAACAAAACAAAAAAAAAACACAATCCAAATCTTAAGCTGCTCGGAAATAAATTTTATTTGACTGCACAGATGGCATTCAGCTGCCTGTCTGTCCTTTAATTCTGCAAATTCACACCCAACAGCAAATCTTCAGTATAAATTTCCATACATTTAAATAGGTCATTTATTATAATTATGGTGGCTAGTTCTCCATTTGCTGAAAAACTATTGGAAATTGTGCCTATATGACAAAACTCAGAAAGGAGGATCTTGTTTATATATATATATATATATATATATATATATATATATATATATATATATATATATATATATATATATATAAAATTTCAGTCTTTTTTTAAAGGTAGACTCAATAAAAAATGTATTTTGTAATATATATATTTTAAGCTGATCATGGGCAGATTTGTGCATAATTACATATTTAAAACAATTAAGAGTCTATTATCCCTATATGAATCTATGCAAGTCTAGGTGAAGACATTGTTGGATGTTTGCACATTCAAAATTAATAACCAGGGGCCAATGGTACTCGTACGTTAAATATTTTAATGTGTACCATTAATTTTTAGTATAGGTTGTAATCTCCGTCGTGCAGCAATAGCTTCTAAAATTTGCCATATAATTTATTTATTTATTTGTTGTATTTCTCCTGCTCGCCAGATTTAGATAAAGTACTTTGTGAGTTTGCTTCTGCAAGAATATAGAGAGCGCATCCCAATCATCTTGGGGGTGGGCTTGGCATTTTGCGTTCAGGTTAGATGGATTTACTTAAGAACTGCCCTTTTATCTGTTTTTGCCCAGCTTGAAAACAACTCTTACATCAGAAAGTATTTGTATATTTTTTGCAGGAAAATCAGTTATCTCTTCATGAAACTGTATAATGAGCTCTGCAGGGTCCAGCACCAAACAAGCAAGCCAGATTTTTGACTTTTCAGAGGGAGTTGATTTCTCAGTCAATTCATTCCCAACTTGGCAAACATTGGAATGGAGACAAAACATTGGTATGCAAAATAAATTAAAATGTTTAGCTGATTATCGTGCAGGCTGAGGGTGAGAGTAACAGGCAGAGTTTTCGGTCATGAAAGACATCACTTTGGGAGAAATGAGACATCCAGTTCAGAAAACAAGACTCGGAGTGTTTGCATAGGAAAGAGATGTGATGAGTCTTCAGCAATATTTGGGGGTGTAGGGAGAATTGATGACATTTTGTTCTGTCTTTGCTATATGCTGATTAGTCTGCTTATATCAGTTTTAAGATTGCACAGCTAGAATTAGTTTAAAATAAGATCCCAGGTCCCTACGATGCTGAAATAGTATGGTAGCTGGAACATTATGTATGCTAACTTATCTTGTTAGCATTTTCTTCACACCTTCCCATTGTTTGTAAAATAAATGACCCTTTTACACTTTTTCAGGTATTGTAACTTACATTTATCATCTCTATTTTTCTATCACTATTTGGTCAGCTGCCTCCAGTGTTGTTGATGAAACTCTAAAGTGTTTATAGCTTTTTAAAAAAAAAACTGCTATATGTGGTAACAAAAGCATTAATGGTACCTAAGTAGCTTTGGCAAAGTTTGACTATAAGAGAAGTTTTATGCTCGAAGCTGCTGTTGTAGCCGTCAGCTGTTCTTTGTTAGAGAATGAAAGGGAGATTTCTTTGTAGGAACTCGGTGTTATTCATTGTACAACCATCCTTTCTTTAGACAGAGAAGTAGAGTATGCCAGGAAAAAAAAAAAGTGGCTGCACTCCAAGGAGTTGTTCTTTCACAGTCCACTGCTCAGACGACCAGCAATTATTATTACAGATCACCGTCCAGCACAGGGTCAAGGGGGCTACAGAAACATGGACAGAGCCGATTCCTATCCCAGTGCTCCTGTTTAGCCTGAGTGGTTGGTAGTGGAGGAAAACTTATGACTTGAGTTTAACTGTTCTGCTCTATAATATCCACCAAAATCTCACAATCATCTCCCACTGGAAGCTGACCGGGTTGTATAAACAGGAAGAAATGGAGGTCAGAGTCATCTTGCAGGGCCGTAAACGTGACTATAAAAATGAAATAACCCAAGTCATTCACCCCATGTTAATCGCTCTTTGGCTATTTAGTAGATTTTAATCGCTGTGGCCTCCAGTCTTAGTCGGTGACAATGGAGATTGGCTTTTATTGGAAATGGAGCTGAGATGAAAGTGCTTAATTACCTCCATTCAAATAGCTCAGAGGTCTTTGTCAGAGAGCAATGACTGCTTTTGGGAGCAGGATATTGCTTTTGAAATTCCATAGGGTTCAGAAGATTTAATATTGACTGCAGGATGTGACAGAACTCTGTTTTAGTAATAGCTCTGTCAGGCTAACGTCCCCTGTCGTAGATATTGATGCTGTTTTTATTTCTTGCATCATATTTGAATTTCCCTTGAGAAAGACTAAAATCTATTCCCTCCATGAATCTAAAACAAGGTTACCTGTCTGCATAAATGACTCTCATGCATCAAAGATTAAAAAAGGGGTTTGAAAATATGTTTGCCTCCCTTTAGCCATGTCCTCTTAGTGTCACAAATGCAGATTGTCACATAATAACAAGAAAACCGTAGGCTCAATCAAGGTCAGACGACGCTAAAAGAGGGCAATTGGAGCTTTTTTGACAAAAGACACTAAGTGTTTTCAAAATGGCAGCTATGTCCCTGATAATTGCCCACCTATCATCTTCTGTGTTACTGCCCTGGACACTTAGTATTCAGTCCCATCCTGTGTGGGCCATCCAAGTGGGTTTTCAGAGCCGAGACAGCTAGCAGCGCCTGATTGGTTTCATGCTTCAGCACGGTGCCACACTGCTGCATTTGCATCATAAACACACATTGTTTAGAAATCTTTTTTTTTAATATACACTCTGAGTTTGTGTTCGAACATTCATATCATATCACAGTTGAAACTAGAGGTTTGCATACCTTATATAAAAAAATATAGCATGTTTTTTTTCATAATCAGACATTAAATTAAACTGAACCCTTCATGTTTTAAGTCCATTTTGATTCCAAAAATAATTAAAATTTGCTAGATGTCAGAATAATCAGACTTGCTAGTTCCCCTTTTTTTTCTTTCAAATTTAACAATCAACATTATGACCAGAAAATTTGATGTTGCTTTTGGAGTTATGGTTTCTTCCTCAAAGAGTAGCCTTTGCTTTTTGCCTGGGAGTTGAGTACATTTCACAACACATCATATTCATCTCTGGGTCACAGCTTACCAATTCCCTCCCTAATATCTTGGCTTATTTTGATGATGTTACACAAGCAGTATGTTTGAGGTGTTACTTTGAAATGCATCTTAAGGTTCTGTAATCAAATCTGACAATGAAAAACAACATTTCACATTAAGTCCCTTGCGGTGATGGGTGCTTATATAATTATTTTTTTTAGAGAGCGCTAAATAGCAGCTTTGTCTACATTTTAAAAGCTACTTCAGTAAAGTTATATTTAATAATATTGCACCAAAATCCTATGTTTAATGAAATAACACAAGATGGATAATCTAGAGTTCACACTAAGACTTGTGGTTTTATTAACAATAATGGGTTGATGTGTTTAATGCTGAGATAGACTGAACATTTTTACCACCATAAGAATTAATTTACTATATTGCTTTGTTAATTAGAGAAGCATTTACACACGTGATGACTTGTTTGCTCCTTGACGTTAGCATCAAACATTTTGTTTTTTTTCCCAGGTGAATTCCATATATTGTCCTTAACCGTCCTCAATTCCTGCAGTTATCCATTTTTATTTCAAGAGCCTGCAACATCTACCCTTTGTCTTTCCTGATAAACCTGGGTCGCACAAAGAAGATTTCCCGCAACTTCCAACACTTTATGGTGTTTGCAGGTACTGTTTTTCTCAACTTCTAATCATTACGAAGCCTTCAGCATTGATACAGTTGGGATTGCTGGAGTGATAGAAGTTGGATTTGCAATCCTTTTTTCTGCAAGTTTTGAAAAAAGAAAACTTTCCCATTTCATTCATCCCATCATTTAGGGCCTGCAGCTACTATCGTTCGTGAGGACGATAAGGGAAGGTGTCTCTTGTGGAACGAGTGTAACACAATGTCTTGATGAAGTTAGTTTGACAGTCACAAATGCCAGCACCTACTTAAAGCCTTTAATATTTCATTACTTTTGCTCCTGAGGGCAGTTCTGCTTAAACGGATATATTCAGAATCACAAATGTTTTTATTTTTCACTCTTACCTTGTTAGTTTACGTTTAAATTGATGTGTATAAATCATTACCATTATATAGGTGTGTTTGACAGTAATATTTCAAAAGTTTTATAGTTAAAAGACTAGGGAAAGGGAAAGAAATGTTTTTATAGAAAGTAATACACCATCCTGTATGTTTGCAGGTCTGACCTACTTTACTGCTTATGTAAGAATGCTTCCTTATGAAAACCCCTTATCTTGCTGGGGGTTTTTTTTGTTTTTTTTTTTATGTATCCATCAACAAGCAACCAACACCTCCCCCGTTTTTTCCCATGGAGGCCAATGAATTCCCATGGGACGTTTTTTTTTTTTTTTTTTCCTATTACGCTCTGCATCAACCAATCTAAACTATTTGTTGGCCAAATGGTTTATGGTGACAGTGATAGTCGGAGTGTAATCTGTTTCCTTTCTACGGCCTTATTATCAGGATGGCTTGCTGCTTTTTATACATAATTGTCATTTGATAGATTTCTCGTAGTTTTACAGATGCCATTAACCCATATGTTTGCTCAAAAACAGCTTTGTTTTCTGTCTGTACCCAGGTTTAAGAGGGGCTGTTTCTTTTAGCTTGGCTGTAAGAGACACTTCAACAGAAGCACGACGCACCATCCTCACCACCACTCTGCTTCTGATTGGCTTCACTGTGTGGGTGCTGGGTGCAGCTGCCGATCCCCTGCTGAGCCATCTGGACCTCAGGTCAGTGTTTGCTGGCTATTTAAAGTCTGGTTCTGGTGTTGTATATCTGAATGTTCCTCTTGCTGAAAAAAACAAAAAAAACAAAACTATAGCATGGAGAAAAACTAGATAAAAGTGGCGAATAATGGCGAGAATGTCCCGCGAAGAAAAAAACTCTGCTTTTCTCAACCAAATAAAGCAGAGTGATGATGCTTGGATTGATATAATTGAGGTTCTCTTGTTGGTGCTGTGGTTTCGTTCCCAGTTTCAGCTCACAGAAAACCTTGCATAGTGGCATCAGCCTTCTTTTACCAACCCTTTCTGAAGGATTTAAAAAAAAAAACCACACAAGCCATTGGCACAGTTATGGTAAGAAATTAAGACAATTCTCTTACTGAAATCTTTGGCTTCCTACAAGGTCTCATCTGTTACTCTATCAAGACAAGACAAGTGTGTAGTCTGAATTAAACACACTAAATCACTTTTCAAGTGATTCAACTAATTATGAATTAATCATGGATCATTTTGAAAGCTTACTGATTTATTAACTAGAATACGATCATTCACTTTACAAGGTCCATTTAACATGTATTAATGTGCATGTATTAGTAAGCAGTTTCCTGATCATAACTCCTCAGGGACATAAAAAAATAAATCAGCTGAAGACAATACAAAGTTCATCTTGAATACCAACTTGGCAAAAATATTATTTTAGCTCAAAGTAAAGTCTTTAGCCGTTTTCACACTGCAAAGAATGGAACGGAACGCCACGGTACGGGTTCAAAGTAGGGCCAACCGTGTTTGCATTAGAACTTCCGACCCGGTTCCACCCGGCTCCTTGGAACCACAAGAGCTGTGGTTCCAATCGGGCCGACCAAGCGGGGCTGCTTAGAATCAGCAGCTGATTGGTCTAGAGTCAACCGTTGATCGGTTCTAGCTGGCTCTCACTAAACTGTTCTTACTGTATTTTGTAAAGAGTGCTCTTTTTAATATTTTTATTATTATTATTATTTTTAATTTGCGATGACGCAATCTGTGCAATGTCTGTCCTCTGAGTCAGTTATATGCAAACACAACAGGGCTGCAGTATGGGTCGGACTGGACCGAAGCGTGCCGTTCCGTTCCGTTCCGTGTCGTTCCGTTCCGTTCCGTTCCTTGCAGTGCAAAAACGGCTATGGTGACCTGCAAAGACTTTGGCCAGAAGAGTGAAATGAGGTTAGTAACTTTCTTAACAGAAAGAGGAGCCTAACCTTAGATGTTGTGGAAGTTTGTGTTTAATGTACAGTATTGCATCAATTGCTTAAAAACAACCTTGATTCTTCTGTTATTTGTGGAGTTCTCCTAAGTTTCATTCTTGGGTCGATATTATTTTAGACAAAAACATTTTTTATAGACTGTATCGTAAGGAAATTTTAATTTTTCTTCATTGCCATGTAGACGAGGCTCAGACCTATTTACTTTTGAATCACAGTTGTTCTTTTTCTTTAAAACCACTGTGTAGCTGGGATTGTCTTTAATTTCCTCTATTTTAATGAGTGAAAAAAAACAGTAATTGTTTTTGGAGAAAGATGCAATTGCCCCACTCCTGATATAGAGGTAGTGACTTTGTGTGTCCTATTTTTTCCTTCCATTGGTGGCAAGTGTAGCACTGTGAAAAAGTGTTTTCCTTTTTACATTTCTTGTTTATTAATCACACTTAAATGTTTCACATCATCAAACTAATTATAAAATCAGATGAAAAGTAAATAGAAAATGACATTTTAAATATCACTTTCCAATAATGCAACCAAAATTATTCCAACAGTGTATGCATATTAAGTACTAAATCAAATAATCATGTTAAAACTGCATTTGGTGTTACGCGGGTTACCTATTTTAAATAAATAGTTGATCATTTCAAACGTTATCTGTAAAAGGGGACATCCAAAGCCACTGCCTACATAAATGTGCATTATTTACAAAAAGTACTGCTATATAAGGAGCTGTTCTAGCTCCAAGTCTGAGCACAGTCTATGATTTGAGGATTGTGGGCCATAATGATAAAGGCGGACAGAAGAGGTGGGAGGGATGTGACGTGGTAATTAGTAACCTGTATTATTAAAGTGGAGCACATGGCCCAAACTGTAGCGGTATACTTTATTCCAGTTTGCTACATCTTTCAACAATGCCTGATGGAAAATCTTAAAGTATTTCTACGGTGTAAATATCAGGTTAAATATTTCCTTTGCTGATCTTAGTAAATAAAACTCATATATTATATAGATTCATTACACTTCAAGTGTTTATTTCAGTTGTTTTTTTATATATATATTTATGAGTTAAATCTAATGAAACCCAAAGTTCTTTATAAGAAAATTTTAAATGATGCACAACCATCAAAGAAAGGATTTAAAAATAAAAAAAAGATTTACGTATTATGGTATGTCTATGTTATAACTTAAACACGGGAAAGACTCCTGACTTAAGACAAGTCCCTTTTTTCTCTTGAATCAGCTCGGTCCTATCTGAGGGTGAAGGATTTACTCTGTCATGTGGGAAATGTAGAAATGTAGTTACCCAGCAATGCCTACATCAAAGGATTGAAATAGCTTCTTATAAACAATGAAAACGAAGTCATTTGTGAAGTCGAGCAAAACATGGAACACCGCTGTTGTTAATGAATTGCAGGCTGGCTTTGGTAATTCAATTGGCTCAGTTGTTTGTTCAAGGTTTTTGCAGCCAAACAAACTTAATTTCACTGTTATAAAGGTGGGGAAAGAACCATTCTCTGCATGAAAACAAGCTGGACATAAGATTTATGTCCATAAAGTCAGATTTTTTTTTTCTTTTTGCTTGTGTACTTTCCTAGATCTGATCATATTCTTATCACCGGAGACTGAGCTGGTATGAAGGCCGAGATTACGTGCTGTAATTTCCAACTTTCTGTGCAATCTGTCTGTCCTCTGAGTAAATCTCTGAATAAATCAAAACCATTCAAGCCCAGTAAATCCAAACAATGAACTAAGGATCTCCTTGCAGTTTCAAATGGTGAAGCTAATTATTCACCCTCTTATTGGCTCTCTGTGGTAGCAGTTCATGATGTTGCCTTTGTTGCACTCCAAACTTAGAATCTTATTGATCTTATGTTAAATAACAGAAAACATAGAAACTGTTATGCACAATAAGATTTTTTGATAGTTTATAGTATGGATTTGTTACTTTTTTTTTTTTTTTTTTCAAAGAAGCATTCTAACATCTGTCTAACATTTAAAGATTGACTTGAGTGGAAATTCCCTACAAAGGCAATACAAAAACACAGGAGTGTAATGGTCCACTGTGATCTGACATAAAAGCGAAACAGAGAACATGCAGCAACCCACTATTTCTGAAATGGCCTTTAAATTACCTTACAGAGCCCACCTGAGAAGGCATAAATGCACTTCCATATAATCACTGATGTTTGTTTAAATCTTTTTGTAAGGGACTATAAAGCTGAGAATTGCAAGCTATGTGTTTTGTTTGCTCCCTAAAGATGTTTTTTTTTTTTTTTAATTAGTAAATATCTCTGAAGCTCAAAGCAGAAACATTGCAATCCTGATCCAGAAAATAGCTGTTTCTCACTTCATTATATGCTTTTAATGACTTTATATTTTGTCACATACCAAGACATTTGCATTTCTGAACATCAGACAACACATTTAACTCTTTTACCCCTAAATAAAACAAATATATCAAACTAAACAACGGTCCCATTATCAGTTAACCGAGTCCAACTGTTTATAATGTAATCTCAGAATTAATACAGCTGGTCTGTCAAGGCCCCAGAGGTTTGTTAGAAAACATTAGTGGAGAAAGATGCTCTGATCAGATTAGACCATAATTGCACTTTTTGGGCTAGATAGAAAATTCTGTCTGGCAGAAACCAACACAATGTAAAAACCACGGAGCACAAAACCTGTTGGATGATGATGAATGAGATTGGGGCAGAAATTCACCTTTCAGCAGGACGACGACCCTGAGCACACAGCCAGAGCTATGAAGTAATGGTTTAGATTAGCAGTCTGCAACGTTTACAATCCAAAGAGAAATTATTTCCCTCAATCCTGCTTGTTTAGAGACCCAAATGTTGTATGACCTTTGTAAAGAGGAAAATTTATAATTTTTGATAATCATATACAATTTTCTTTTCTAAAGAACCACTATTTTATTAGAATGTTTAGGTTTGTATAATTTCTTTCTGTGGGATGTTAATATTTGTGAAAATGTATTTAAAAAAAAAACCAAACAAACGGAGTAAAGAAGATATAACTGTTACTTTTAGGGTTATTCTATTGTGGAAATTAAATGTATTTATTTATTTATTGACAAACATGTAAAATTGGCAAATCTTTCCCTTGGTATTATATTTATATTTAAAAGCATTCAATTTTTATTTATCATTTCCAGTCAAAGTTATTAAGAGGCATTGTAGAAGGTCCAAAAAGCCATTTGCAGCTCCAGAGCTGCAGGTTTCAGACCCCTGGTTTTGATGAAAGCATATTGATTTCTTATAATGGTTGAAACCTAAATCTAATTGAGAGTCTTTGGCAGTGCTGGATAACTGCCTCTCCATCCAATCTGGAGCTATTTTTGCAAACATGAGTGAGCAGATATTTCAGCCAGTAGATGTGCAAAGCTGTTAGGAAGACACAGCAGACTTTTGGGGTAATTACAGCAAAAGGTGTTTCTGTGCTCTATTGACTCAGGGGCTGAATACTAATGCAAGCCGCAGTTTCTTGTCCAAAAATTAAGCCAGCTGCTTGTATCCTTACACATTTTGTTAGATGCAAACCACCTTTAAAATGATAGACTTTTGAAGAGACAGCATCATTTTTTGACTATTCTTTGGTATTTTTCATAATCTCCCTAAAGTTGATTGTAATTACTGGTCCAATAGAGCTTAACAAGACCAAATGACAAGCTAAGGGCTAAATTTAATCTTTTAATCTTAAACTGGTTTCTTTCCCTTGTGTAGCCAAATTATGTACCAGATTTAGCTTTCC